ATTTGCCCCAGGGACTATTAATAATATGTTATAATACGTCGTTCGCTTCATAATAATAATGGCTATTTAGTGTGTTTAGTTGTGCAGCTAGGGAAATTACTGAAACTTGCAATTAGTCATACTAAAAGCAAACTAACGCTTAAATTCAAGCAGCGATTGCTAAGCCCAAAGGTGAAACGGCCCTGGATTCTATTTTGAGGTTCCTCAACTTAAATACAGCTCCAGCTCGCACATGAGTTATTTTTCTAAGTATTCATGAATGTACTAACAAATGCCTATATGCATATGTATATGCAAACATATGATTATGTACATAGGTAAGTCTACAAATGCTCGTAGAGTTGTAATATGTATTTATATAATTGCAAATTTCACTTCAAGTCACTTTTAGGCGGCTAGCTTAAGTGCAATTAAAACATGAAGCTTAATAAGCATGACATGTAAAAAATATCTGCAAGGTATTGAAAAGAAACGAATTGCGAATGACAAATTAGAGGTATGAAAGTTATGTAAGTCCCCATTTCAAAATAGAACAAAATCGAGTGCTAATTGTCGGAATAAACCATCTCAGTCATTTACTGTATTCAAAAAGTGCTAGCGAAACAAATAAGTGATCTCACCGGTCGAAAATCATATACTAATGAGCTTTATTTTTTTTTCGCAATGCATTTCAGACTACCTAAGTCATGCCTCAGATAAGCTCAGTAAGTAATACAAGCTTTTGTTTTGAGGATCAAACTGGACATACAAACTAAGTAAGCCTCATATTTTTATTCCGTTCCTCGATTTATACATTTCACGAATCTGTTGAAATAGTTGTTTTTATAATAAGTTTATTTAGTATCTTAATTAAAAAAACACTCTGTTTTCTATATATAAATAAGTACTGCGCACACCGATGAATTAGTCAACAGCTCCTCAATTACAACGTATAACAACGGAGATCGATAAGCGAAGAATTTTAAACAAATTCAAAGTCAACCACTTTTGTTTTGGTTGCTTTGTTATAGATACCAAAGAAGAAAAAAAACTCAAGACAAGCCCATTTAAGTGCAGAGATCGCATCTGCTTTGTTTGTTTTCGAGTATTTTTTCGTTTCTCTTTATCGTTGAGTTTATGGTGTTTCACATAGTAATTAAATATGGTTTGCACCGAGTTCCATTTTTGGGGTTTTTCCTTTTGACGTAGATTTCGGGGTTAAGTCGCACGTAAGATCAAAATTTGTTGGGCCTATTAAACTTGTGACTCACATGGCACTCGTATCCGACCAGCTGAAATGACGTTTTATCCTTTCGAAGTCCATGACCGGCTGTTGATGCTGCTGATGATGATGATTTTGCTGTTGTTGGCTCAAGGTTGTCTCTTTCTTGGGCGCCATTTTGAGTGCTTCCTCCGACTCGAGGGTTAAGGAGCCGGCGCTGTAAACGCTCTAGTCAATGGTTACTAGAAATAGTTGCACAACTGGTTTCGCCTTTTTTTTTGGATTCGGCTAGTAAACAATCGTGTTTATTTCAATCTTTAGCTCACACTTTGTTTCGTTTATTATGCGGAGATTCGCGCGCGTTCGCACAGTGCAGAAAGACAGCAAAACAAAAGACTTAAGCAACGAACCTCATGTTCGTATCAAATTTGCTACTCAAAAAAATGATTTTGCTTTTTATTTTATTATTATTTAATATTGTTTTTGCTGTTGTTTTTTTATTGTTGTTAGCCAATTACTCGCTTGCCTTAGCCTGCTTGCTTTTTCTAACAGCTGGCACGAGGCGCTCACACTTGCGTAGACGTGGACAAAGACAAATACAGCCGACAACGATAACGACACTGCTCAATAGCGTGAAGGCAACGACAACAATAAACGCTCATAGGCAAATTACGTAATTGGGCTTAAAATCAAATTTAAAGTGCGCACATAATCGACGATTTTTTTAACTTAAAATTCTTTATGGTTTATTTGTTGGCGCTGCTGCTGCTGCTGCCTGTTGCTTGTTGCGCTGCCTAACGCGCCGAAGTTGAAAACGAAACTGAAAGCATGCGGAGCCCCCACTATACTCAAGAGCTGCCAAATGTACATATAACATATAGAGAAATATACATTTAGAGGCAGCGAGAGAGAGAGAGAGAGAGAGATACAACCAGTATGAGAGAGCATGCCAGCTGTTATAATATGTAATGCGGTTTTGGTTTTCTCATCAGTAGTTAAAGTCAATGATCAAAACTTGGGTTGCAGTTGTATGCAAAGGCACCGAACTTATTGCGCGTAGACGAAAAAAACGATGAAAATAATTGAATTTAAATTGACTAATTTTCTTAACTTAACTCATAGAAAATCTAAAGCAGTTATAATTTAAATTGTTGTAGATTCAAATGACTTAGGGAACGAACTCAATATGTGATTTGCTGCCATCTACATGGCATTTAACGAATATATCGAATTGATGATATTTTGCCTTAACTTTATTGATTTTAAATTCCGGTAGCTGTTGACGCTATACATACTCCCACTGTGCCATCATTTGACAGTAAGCATTTAAACTACTTCATTAAGACTTTGATTCAATACCGCTATATAGCTGTGGGCAATCAACTTAGGGTCTTAGGGGATCTAACATAGTGCCAAATTAGTAACAAACAGCAAAAGACCTGTTAATGATTAACAACCATGAACTTCGATGAACTTTCTTGAGCCGCTTATCAAACGTTGTCCTAAGGATGATAATTTTATTTTATTTTTACTTCATTTATTAAGCGGTGAAATTGAATCGCAAAGAACTGTGTATGCTGTAAGTTGTGAGGCGGTGAAAATATGATGTTGTGAGGCGGTGAAAATATGCTTTCCATACGCTTAATTCACACATTTCCGTTAACGGGTGCCGGGTGACACAGTTAATTCAGGCGAAATTCGAAAATCGCATGCTGCGACGATTCAATGATATTTATTACCACTCTGTGGAGATGGCGTGTCAAATCTGAGCTTATATAAGTCCCACTGGGTAGCGCAGCAGTTTTTTTTTTTTTTTGGGCTGCATTTATAATGCATTTATGCTAATTATCGAGAAGTCGAGCGACGTTGAGAGACAAGCAGTGAAAGCGTTTGCATGCCACAGTCTTACGCAAATTGCAGCAGACAAATCGCTTTGTTTGAATATTGATTTCATTTGCAATGGGTTTTAATTGCAAATGGTCAAACAAAGTTCCGAGCAAAACAAAACAACAAACCACAAATGCAAATCAATGACGTAGAGGAAAAATTAAGCTCTCTCTTTTCTTCACTCTCTTTTATTTTCTTGGGCCTGGCTAGAAGACAGGCACATTTTCGATTACCTCATCAACGTCGACGTCGTCGTCGGCATCGTTAAATTGCAACAATTATGGTCAAAAGGCAGTGATGCTGACGGTGACGTCGACGACGCTGGCAACAGCAGTGTAAATGAAAAATCAATGAAGCAGCTAACAAACGTTGCCCAGAGACGACGAATGTTTCGGACAAAGCAAAGGCAGCTAAAAGAGCCGCATAAAAAGAAAGTTTGAAGCACAACTTTTTTGTTTTTGTTTTATTTGCTCAATTTTATCGCTTGCCTTTACATGTTCGTAGTTTGATTTCTGTATTTCCAAACCATTTGATATGAGTTCACAAATGTTGTCGGGCTGAACAAACGCTGACATTTCGGCTTGTCATTTGCCAGATCCAGACCCAAGGCACGTCCACATTCACTAAGGAAACGGTAGCAGAAACACAAAAAAAAAATCATGAGCAAAATTTAAATGGCAGCCAGCGCATTTGATAATTGCCTCAACAAATGCACACAAAACTAGTTATTTGTGATTTTCGTTGTGTTGGTTTTCGCACGAAACAAACAAACAACCAAAAAAAAATTGCAACATTTGCCGACGGCGCCAAAGAATTTGTGTCAGGCGCTTGCACAATGACCACACCAGTCACCATTGCATTGCAGTCTACGCCTTGTACATGGGGCGTATGAGCAACACCAGCCAGCCAGCAAAAATCGGTGACCAGAAGACGTTAAACAGCAATTCGCAAGAGCATTACATAATCTGGCTGGGCCAACTGGTAAAGCTTCGTAAATGCGCACTTGACGGAAGTTAGGAAAAATACGAAAAATACAGTGCATACATATGTACATTCCTATATAAATAAAAAACTGGTCGGTTGGGAAAATTATCGCCAAAATAGATTTGTTGCATACATTTGTTGTGTGGTGCGACAACGTCGGTGCTATGTGGAGTAAGCCAATAAGTAAATTGGCCAAAAGCTACGGACGAATAATAACATTGCCAGTAAGCAACAATTTCCAGCGACAAATTGTCAACAGACCCAACAACAACGAAAGCATCAACAAGATCGCAAAAGAGTTTCATATCCGGTTTTAAGCAACAACAACATTATTGATGGAGGATACCAAAATGAGCATTTTCAAATGAAGATAATTTTACTTATTAGAGGTAGATAAGATTGATTTTTCAATAATAACAGCCAATACAATTCAGTTTCCACTGAACGATAAAATTAACTTTAATATCATAATCTGTAATAATTCAAAAATTCGCGCCCATCTATAGTCTACCAAACATCTCTATCGCATACATCAGTGTTGCTTCGCAAGCAGCGTCATCTATGCAACTCGCGCATAGGGTTGTATTTACAACCATCTAGCGGGAAAATTTGTAAATAATCAGGGTGGCAAATCAAAAAAAAATTGCAATACGATTTATATTCTGGCAAGCAATGGGTAAATATTCCAGTTGTTTCCAAAACCATGTCGATTTGACACCCTGCAATTATTAGAACCAACTCTAAAAAGTGATAGGTTTTATGAAGCCAAAAAAAAAGTGATCTAGTGAAAATCTCTCGTGCTCTCTCGCTCTCTCACACACTCTCCTCCTAATAAAGAACAACAAATGTCAACGATATATATCGATGGCGTCAGTTTTGTTCGTACATTTGAAAAGATAGTTTGTCAGCTGAGAAAGCGAGGCAACTCTAGCAAAAGCCGCATTTTTTACGTAAACTAATACAGTTTGTCAAATCAACAAGTTTTTATATGTGAAAACTGTGAAAGGAGGTAGAATTGAAGGCTTTTAACAAACTTGCAAACAAACGGAATATGTTTTACACAATGACGCTGCTCACTCGGGGCTCCATCATCGGTTCGCTAATTAGCAAAGTCAGGCAAGTTGTAGCCAAAAATAAAGACACTTCTTCCGCACCGACAAATCAAATTAAATCAAACAATTTTACACCTACGCCCAGACCATTGGGTGCTGCTGGCATTAGCAACAGTTCGGTGCTGCAGGCGCGGACGCCAGAGGAACAGATTGGGCTACCGCCACGACCAAAGAAGCCGCTGACGCCATATTTTCGCTTCATGCGCGAAATGCGCCCGAAGTTGATTGCCAAAGACCCAAAGATAAGCACCATTGAGGTTGTGCGGCAATTGTCGAAGAACTGGGTGAGTGTGGATCCCAAGATGAAGGAGCGCCTGCAGTCCGAGTACAAAATAGATCAGGAGATTTACCTGGATCAGCGCACCAAATACGATGCAAAGCTGACCGACGAGCAGCGCGCCGAGATCAAACAGATGAAACAGGACATTAGCGATGCCAAAGAACGCAAACAGCTCCGCAAACGTGTGAAGGAGCTGGGACGCCCTAAGAAGCCGGCATCCGCCTTTCTGCGATTTGTGGCCAGCGAGCGAACAAATACGCCGCAAACACCACAACAAACATATCGCGAATGGCATCAGAAAGCCACGGCCAAATGGACGCGCCTCTCCGACGATGAGAAGGCCGTCTACTTGCGGGAATCTCGCAAGGAACTCGATCATTACAAGTGCGTAGATCCTCGATAACTCTATAAATAAGCCGAGTTGTATATATATTTATAATTTTATTTATATGTATGTATTTTTATTTATTTGCCTTTGCAGAGCCGCAATTTCTATTTGGGAGGAAAAAATGATACGACTGGGCCACATCGATGTGGTGCGCCATGGCAACCTCATCGATCCGCCAGAGCCTAAGGCACGGAAGTCTCAAGTTCCAAAAGCCAAATAATCTGAAGAACAACACGTCATCTATCATCATATGATTTTTTCATAAAAACAATACTGTTTTTAAATTTGAAATTGTTAAATTCTTAATTCGTCCTCATCAGTATGAAATAAGTTGGTCCTTTCAGTTCTTATTATTATTTTTGAATAATGTAAATAGCTTCAGCATCATGTATTAAATAATTAAAATGTTAATTAAGAAAAAAGTTGGTTCCTTCAAACCTTATGGTTCTCTTTCAATAATGAAAAACAGCTTCAGCATCATATATTATATAATTAGAAAATTTTCATTTTTTCATAGATCAACTCTGGATTTTCGTTGATGAGATACTCTGTTTTATCTACGAAAGAATATTAAGTAAATAATCGTCCCGCAACTAAGTTGAGCTAATTTATAAAATAACAATATATGTGAACTAAATAAAAGACCTTTGGCCGACACGTGGTTCAGGCCAGATTCTAATGCGTTTGCCAAATGGCAAACACGTGTCTGAGTCTTACGGGGTTAAGATCACACTGGATTTTTAGTTGATTTAACACGGTAATCGACACAGGTTTTATTTATCTGCGTAGATCACGGTAAACAAATATGCAGTAAATTTGTCACCTCAAATGCACAGAATAAAAAGATACTTTTCAATTTGCATTAGTACAGTCTAATGTATATATATATATATATATATGTGTGTATACATAAAATTAAATGAGTGCGCATGAGACACAACCGCTCGCTGCTCAAGTCAGTTTCGAAATGAAAGAGGTGCTCAGCGCCGAGAATTGGGATAGGCTTGGCTGGAGAATGAAGACAAGTTGGAATGCTGTTGACTGGGTTGCCATTTCCAATGGTCAGCATTAAACACGCACGCAACGCTCTCATTCTCTTTCACCTTTAACAGATATACATGCACAGAGGCATTGATAACATATACCATATTACGGATGCTCGCTTAAAGAGCATGAAAATTGTTATGCTCAGCATTTTGTTACTGTTGCTGTTTTTTTAAATTTTGTTACACATTCAGTTACTCTCTGGTTGCTCATTCCAGTGAGAGTTGCTGCTTTGAATCATGTCTCTCGTTATTTTTGTTTTTGGGCAGGTAGTAGTAACAGGTAGTTGAAATTCATGGCTTAACATTTTCATTTTAAAGCTACCTGCGCTTGCAGCAGAACAAATGGCTAACAAACGAACGCTATGCTAATTAAAAAACAGTCTAAAATAATATTGTGTGTTAATTGTGGAGTTCACGGCATGTGAGCTTCTTGCTTACCGCATGGTCACAACTAAATGCTTGCATTGGCCGCCACATTCTCAAGCAAGAATTTGTACTTACCTCTGATTTTTGGCCAAATAACACGTTCTGGCACAACCAAACTATATGCCATGCCGCCTTGCAATTGCGAAAGCCATATTGGCAAAACCTTGAGCTACTCTACAGCCAAAAAAGCTAACTGTGTACCCCGGCCAAGCCAGGCCAATAAAATGTATGTAAGCTTTTGGCAGAAAATGGCAACTTGAAAATACACAAACAAATCGCTAAAAAGTACACTCATAAAAAATCGTCATAATTTTGGTCAACCTATTATTCAGAAAGTAAGGTTCTAAAATATATAGTTCAGGCTTTGTAAAAACCAGTGTTTTCATTTCTAAGTTTTAGGGTGGCTTTTTTCTGAAATATTGAAATAAAATTTATAATAAAACGAAAATAACTTTTGTTCTGAAATTCAGTTTACTTAATATGAAAAACTATTAAAAATAAAAATCACAAAATTTTTGAAAATGGTTTCTAAATTTTAGAAATGGGTTTCCTAACATCTAGAAATAATTTTCAAAGTCAAGAAATTTTTTTTATTTGTTAGAGAGATTGACTAAAATATATAATGATATTTTATTGAGTGTAGCCAACAGCTAGTGGCACACGACACGAATTTCCGACTACTATGCTGCAATAGAGATCCAGCGTTGCCTTGAGGTCCCAGGGGCATGTGCTGCATGCACTTAATCATCATTAATATATGTATGTGACAGTAAAAATAAAACATATAAATATATATGTATGCATATATGTGATCCATGGAAGCAAATAAAAGTCTTAATGTTCTGTGGTGGGGCAGCCAAGTGGAACCATTGTGTATTGTGACTCTGGCGGTAGCTACTTATTAGCCAGTTTTGCGTTGTCCGTTGTCTGTAGTCTATTATATTTGTTATTAGCCCATAACATTACCGAGTTGAACTGCGGCTTCTCTTAACTCCCTTGGCTCCCCTCGCCAAGTTTTGACGATTTTAGTATGAACTGGAGGCCAACATGTTAGATTCGGCGGGTCTCGTGCAAATTCAGTTCTTTAAAATAAAAAAAAAATAAAAATGTTGGCTTGATATTACAATTTTTTATTCAACAGTTTGACTCGATGCAAAAATGTATATTTATAATTTATGTTTACGTTTATTCAAATTGCATGTATAAATTACAAGCAAAATTCCCCAAATCAAATAATTCTATAATAACCGAAGGCTTTTATATGTCCGGGTTTCGTGTTCTCTTGCTCGATGTAGCCACTACAAAGAAATATACACATAATTATAAGCTATCCTAAGTACCTAGAAGAATATTTACATACAACAAATTTTGGGAAAATATAAAGACAATAATTTAATACTCTGTGAAAACTTCAACTAAAAAGTGATGTGGTGTTGTTGCTGATGCTGATGTAAACAATTCAAATATGATTTTATGAATCAACTCCAAAAACTGATGGAGTCAACAATATGTATGTATGCGGATGCCAAAATGAAACAATTCACTAAATTAATCAAACAAAAGTCTGGGAGTTAACCTCGCTTCCCATTGGCCTGAGCATACGTGTGGCTATCCTCCGAGGGTGGACGAACCCAGCCGCCATAACGTCGCTCCATTTCGCGGGCAACGGCAAGACAGAGATGGTCTTGGCCCGGATTGGCCACAACTTGTATGCCCATGGGTAGATTACGGCGATCCAGGCCAATCATACAATTGGTCACTGGCAGACCCAACGTATTGAAGATGGCCATATACATCGGTTCCAGTAGCTTGTGATAGATCTGATAATGCTGATGGGCGGTATTGGGGAATGTTGGATAGAGAAAGACGCCATCTGTGCCGAGCAGCTCCTTGAATTCAGTCTTGAGCGCCTCAATGATGCTGGCCAAATGCTTGTGCCGAGAATTCGGTATTATTTTCATAAAATTCTGCAAATGACCGAATATCACCGAGGGTAAAATGCTGTCCGAGCAGCCAAAGAAATATTTGACCGTCTCCTTGCAGACGGTCTTGGGCTGTTCACCCTCCTCCGTCTTGTGGTAAATCGTCTCAATGTTTTTCATCGTTAGCATAGCCGATAGCGATATATCGAGAGACCATTTCATTTTGCGTATATTCACACGTTTCGCATTGAAATCGCTGGCAACCCGATTGATGGCCGCATGCAGATCCCGGCTAAGGGGACGCATCATGCCCGACGGTCCATCGTTGTCCATGAAAAAGAAGCGTATGCCATGCACACTGATCGCCTTGTCCAGCGTCAGTCGCGGCCCAGTCGGATCGCTCATGCACTTGAGGAGCAACGGCAAATCCTTGGCATAGCGTGTCATCGGTGCAATAGTGAAAAAATCACCCCATTTCGGAAAATCGCTGGTCGGATGATGGCCACGAAAGGAGACCGCATATGGAGTCGGTTTGTGACCCCAAATACCGCTGAACATGGCGGGCAGACGCGAGGAGCCGCCAATGTCGGAGGTGAGGCCCAACAGGGAGGCGCCACTGGCCAGCAATGCGGCCTCCCCGCCAGAAGAGCCGCCTGGCGTGCGCTTTAGATCATAGGGATTCTTTGTTTGGCCCGTCACATTGTTGTACGTCTCCCAAAGCAGACACAGCTCTGGTGTATTGGATACTAGCAAAATGATGCCGCCACAGCGCTTAATCTGCTCGACGACGGGTGCATCCGATTTGGCAATTTGCGGTGTCTTAAAGACACGACCAGCCTGATTAGTCAGGCCCTTGACGGCGATGCTCTCCTTCACCGTCACCGGTATGCCCAGCAGAGGAGTGTGCTCCTCCATGGATTCAATGCTATTGATGCCCATCGCAATTACATTGTCGATTTCACGCGCCTCTTCCAGCGCCTCCTCGAACCGATCCTGCACAATGGCATTGATAAGCGGATTTACCTGTGAAATAATTTACAATGTTTACGATATATAATGTTATAATATTATAAATAATAATCTATAATATTGTTTACCTGTCGACAGCGTTCTATGTAGGCTTCAACGACTTCTTCGCTTTTGATCTGCAATTAAAATGAGAACACAAAAAAAATTCTTTTCATCATTTCCGCACTGGGTATTATTGATATTATTTCAAGATTTTATTGTTTCTCTTTGTTTGTCTCGTCGCTTAATTGTTTGTGAGAACTAACCAAATAACAAACACACAAAAGCAATTTATGTTAAATTAAAATCAATAAAAAAATTCACATTCAAGCACCATGGGCAATTTTATTCTGTCTGCTGTGCGCCGACCAAAAAATGTGATCGCTCCAGGAAGCGTCATGGTGTATGAGTAATCTGCATTTTCAATTGTCCATTGCGTTGGCAAAGAAACTCTTTTTTCTAGAGAAACTATAAGAACTAAAGACTGGACTATAAGTTTACTAGGCTATCGTTTAGCATTCGAAGCTCAGATTCCTTTTATTTGATCGACAAGTTCTCCATTGCGATACAAATAGTTAGGTATATAAGGTATAAAATATTTCTTGATTAACTGCACAAATTTCCAACCAGAAACACTTACTTTAGGAGACAAAAATGTTTTCATGTGTGAGCTCATTTTAAAAACGGAAGTTTGTTAATAAATGTAGAACCTTTGTTTGAGTGACAAGGGAGCAAGTTGCGTGGGATATTTTACAAAACTTGCGTTGTGCATATGTCAGAAATTGACTGATACTGAGACACACCAACTAAATACACAGCAGAGAAGGCAAGCTAAAAACAATGGAAAATCCGTAGCCGCAAAGCAATCGAATTCATCGAACACTATTTAATGGAATATAATGTGTATATAATGTAATGTGTGCAATAATATGTGTAACTATAAAGCCTGTATTAAAAAAATAATCAAATTATAGTAACTCACACAAAATCCTAATTTCTATAAAGCAATTATTATTTTGTTTGCCCAACTGGACAATACTCAAAAAATATTTTCTTATTCTTATTATAAATTTGTGCTAATATTTTTAACATATAAATAATAATACTCTGAGATTGTTTTATTTAGCACAAGATAATATTCCTTTTAGTTTGGTATTATTTTAAAGCTGGATAGTTTAAATTAAAATGATCGCGTGTAATTATTTCCTTATACCGAAAACTACATTCAAACTCGAAAAGCCAAAAGACATTGTGTATTCAACTTAAGTATGCCGTCTGGCGAGTCTCTTTATCTTGAAATATCATATCTACTTGCATATATATATTAAACACAGATCATGTCGCCACTTATTGTTTAAATAAATCTCAATTTAGGTAGTAATTAAACTGAATGTTGTCGCTGTTGTCTCTCACGCTGACCCGGTCAGCTGACTGGTGGGGGAGTTAAAGAGTGAAAAAATTTGAATAAACAATAACAAAAATATTTTTCAACAATTTGCGTAAGCAAAATGAGGCAATAGCTGAAGCACTGACAATGAAACTGCGAATATAAAATTAAAATAATAAAAATCATAATTAAAATAACGCTCGCATAAACCTGAAAATAGTGCAAAAAGAAATCTTAAATGTTATGTGAGAGACGAAAGTGCAAAAAATTATAAACAAACAAGGCGGCTTATAAACAATTGTGATAAAACAAGCCAGACACAAAAACAGACAAAATGCAATACATTTTATAATTTTTTTTTTCGTTTTTGGGGTGTGTGTGTGTGTGCTGGCTGGATAAGGTCAGTCGTGTCATGACCTTAAGTAGTGTATATGAGCGTCTGTGTGTGTGTGTATGTGGACCAATGAACGCAACGAATCTTACGAAGCACAACAAACCACGCTAAAGAAACACAACAGAAACAACAACAGCAAACCAAACAAATTTTATTTATTTCTGAGTATATTTCGCAGTTACTCTTAAGTATTTGTACGTCATGCTCACGCGTTTATTTCACTGGCTATGTGCAATTTGAGCAGCAACCAGATGTTATTGATATGGCCACGATAAAGCACAGACAACCAGCCAGACAGGCAGACAGCAAGTCAGCCGGGCGGACAGATCTCTAGGCCGCGGCGGTTAGCTAACCCAATTTGCGAATTGCGGCTCTGTTGGGGATTTCTACAACTCTACAACTCACAGAGCAGGTTACACATTGAAGAAACTGCAAAGTCGAATATGAATAGGTAACTGCTTTGTTTAAACTGGTACTCAAATGGGTTAAAAGTCTGGCTTATTTTGCAAAAGAATAATTTTTTTTCATTCAAATAAATTCAATCCTTTATGATGTGCATAGCTATGTATATCTATTGTATAGTATATCCTTTTGCAAAAAAATTTATTTGACTTAATGATTATTTTTCAAATTGTTAAAAGCTGGATTTTGCACAAATATTATAATTAAAAAGTTTGTAAGTAAAAAAGCATCATTATATCATTATTATACTTGTTGCTTAATGGATTTTTTGGGGAATCCGACTAGTCTTAAACTTTATTTTCTGGCTATTTAAAACAATGTCTTTATAGTAAGGTGAGCAAAGTCGAAACCCACTCGACATAACCCGCTAATGGACCTGTCAAAATTCAGTGGCCATCAACGGCAGCAGCGTATCTAAGTATCAAAGTGCCTCATGGATGGGGCAATCACAGTAGTGTGGTCTTTTTTGTTGCACTGTAAGTCGTGGCCTGTAGATGGTAGACTATTCATATTTTACCAATACTTATTTTGCGGTTCGCTTGAGTGGAGTACACTCTTAAAAAAATCGCCATAAATTTTAGTAAGTCACCATATTGTTAAAAAAATTTTTTTAAATGTATGGATTTGGATTCCCAAAAACTAGGGTTTTCACTTTTATACTTGAGGGTGAATTTTTATAAAAGAATATTTCTAATTTCGAGGGTGTTTTACAAAGTTTATAAATTAATTCAAATTAACTTAGCCCCGATGACAGCAAAACTCTAATTTAAAAGCCGAGCCAGTAAATTACATGTTTCCGCATTTTAGAAAGGATTTTTTCTACTTTTTGGAATTGCATTTCGTAATAATAGAAAATATTTCCAAAAAAAAAATTGTCGATTTAGAGCAAGACTTTCTAATGATGAGACTTTTTCTTATAAGTCTATCTATCTAAATATCTAAATAAATTAATTTGAAAGAAACTGAACCAGATACGCTCGAATGTACATTTCATTACTTGTTTTTTTTTACTATCGGAGTTTGTTAGAAATGCATGTATTTTTTTTCGCTGAATTGAAAACAGGCGAGTAATATAAGTAAGTCAGGCATTGGACTCACCTTTCTGGTGCGAATCAGTTTGGCCAGATCGACGGCGGGTATCTCCAGCAGATGGCTACGGATGGGTGGCAATTTGCGCCGAATCACCTTGATGTTGGTGTAGCGGCTGTAGGGCACCACAAACCAGCTGAAGACAATCATGGCCGAGCGCAGGAAGCGCCTCATGATGTACCCCAGGATCCTGGAACACAGTAACACAGCAATTTTGACGCCTTTTGTGAAATTGGACGAAAAAAAATAGCCAAAACTAATATTGTATCCAAAAAAAAAAGATACAACAATGCGAGCTACAAAGCTGCTGTGGCAGTGACAGCGGCAGCGGCAGTGGAAGCGAACAGGTTGGCCAACAAGCGTCAGGATTGCGCAATATGCAGCTGGCCTGAGCACGGACACACTGCAATTGCGCAGCGCCAACAGCGACGTCGACGTCGACGTCAACAGCGACAGCGTCTGCTGCGATTTGCACTTGCACAACTTGCACTCGACACGAACTCGAAATACGAAAACGATGTTAACGATGGCTTAATATATTTTTTGGGTTTACTTTTTTTTGTTTTATTTTTTGGTCAGTTGGCTAATAACTAGTGTGGTGATAGTTTGTTAAGAGCGACTGCATCTTGTACTATGCTAGGCAAAATCGAAACACTTGTTTTGGCAAAAAAATATGCGTAACTAGTTTATTGGTTTTTGTTGTGGACGAATTTGAATGCGCTGCAAGCGCATGCGTAACGTTTCACTGGCTTTCATGTTGCAACACTATTTTTGCATATGTATGTGTGTGTGTCTTATCACAATTGTTGCACTTTGCAGATGAAACGGGTCGCAACCAGCCGAGTTTCAATGGACAGCAACCGACTCATACAACGCGCGCTAAGCAAATAAATGAGCATCGAGAGCTGTGCATAACATTTAAAGCTCTGCTCGTCCCAGCTCTCTCACAGCTGAGCCGAAAGCTCCAACCGGTTCAGCTTAAAGTTGCACTGCTCTCTCTCTCTCTCTCTCTCTCTCTCTCTCTCTCTCTCTCTCTCTCCTCTCTCTCCTTTCTTTCTCTCTTTGAGAGCTCTTCTGAGCTCTTCTGAGACTTAGAATCGGTCAGACTTGAAAGTCCACTTGTAAATCACCAATTGTTCTGGAGGAAATGGCTGGCAATAAAATTAAATAATAAACTGTGCCTTGACGTTGTAAGCCAATATCTGCGGATATGTGTATCTTAAGTATCGTTATCTTTATATGCATTAATTCCGGCTAATCTGCAATTACGCACAACCTTACGAACTTGGCTTTGTTACTCGTGTTGTTAATTATACAATTTGCAATGGATATGTTATGGACATAGATCCGAACCAGATAATTAAAATGAGATCGAAACTTAGATCATCGATATTTGAATTTTGATATTTGAAGAATGCAACGTCATCAAAACATTTACTAAATACGAGATATATTAAAGAAATATTCATCTGCAATTATTAATAAATATATATACGATTCTATGGTCAGTTTTAAGATATCATGATATAATTGTCCCGAGTCATAATTTTGTATAATAAAAATATAATAGTAATAATAACAAAAGTAAAAATAAATAATAAGATAAATATATAATGATTGTACATTAAGATAAGAAAAGAGCTCTGATGCCTGACGCCTATTTAAATTGCAATTCGGCATTTATACTGATTTCGTTTTGTAAATACTTAAATGCTTGTCTTTTTTTTTTTTTTGCTGTCCATGGGATTTGAATTGTTTTTTAATTGCGCAACTATTAGTGGCTAATGACAACACACAGATGCACATTTAAGACAGCTAATTTACCTGGATATACAAACATATATATTAGTATAAGCTAAAAGTACTTTGGAATTCGCTACAATCTTAGGTAACGGCTCAAATTACAGTTCGAAGTATTAACGTAATATCACGCAATTTACTCAACAAGCACTATATTAAAAGTAAACAACAAATATTTACTTTTTGTTAGATGTGAATATATTTTGCGTATTGCAAAATGCTTTCTGTCTGTAATATTCTGGAGAAAAACACAAAGCCGGGTTTTTGCCAGGTTAAATGCTAAAAGATCAAAGAAAGGCGACTTAAAATGAATGCAAACGATCTGTTTGGTTACGGTTTTGCCCATGGTTTAATACTGTATTAAAATTTTAAGATAGTAAAATAATGTTATTATTTTATATAAATTTGGCAAATAATGTTTATGACCCATAGTTGTTTTCAAACTGATCATCAATATTGAAAATATGTTGCTCAGTATTCTTAAAACGGATAACGTTAAAATAAAAATGATGTTAAGACGACATGACATTATTGTTTACTTAAATAAAATTACAAAATTAATTAATGTTAAAATGAGATAAATATTTAATTTAAGTATAGCAAAAATGATTTATGACTTTTATGTGTTTTTCAGTTCAAAAACCAATGTTAAAAATTCATTGCAAATATGTTGCCTCGGGCAGTTCCTTCTATTTAAAAGTAATCCAGAGATTGTGAGAAAAAATTCTTTAAAAAATATAGCTTTAGATAACGTTAAGCATGACATCATCGATTACTCAAATAAAATTTCAGAAAATTAATGTAAGAAAATTATGAATATTGTATTTAAATGTAGCAAAAATGTAATTTTACTCTTATGTTTTTATGAATGTAAAATAAACGCCCTCAAGCTCATATTCAAATATGAATTAAAAGTAAGTCAGAAATTGAAAAAAAAAACAGTATTCCTTAACAGATAACGCTTTAGATAACGATAAACATAATAACTTGATAAACTATGCAATAACTTATTTACGTAAAAGAGAGAGAAAGAGTCCAGCACTAAGAGAAAATAATAAACGCTCAACTGCTGTTATAAGAAAAGAAAAAGCACGCAAATAGTCGTGTGCATAATTTAGAATTTAGATCGAGTTAGTTGGCTGTAGAACTTTCCATTGTAAACAACACACAGTGCTGACTCCGACCGTAAAAATAAGAGCATCAGGAAATACCAAAGTGAAAATAAATAATAACAAAAAACAAAATTGAAATTAATTGAAACTTTTAAGCTAGCCTATAACAGCTATCGATGTGGTTACAACGCTGGCGTCATTGCCGCGTAACAGCAGCGGCTCGTCAAAGCTTGAGAAGCTTTGCTGCTGTTGGCAGCGAGAGCGAGATCGATAACAACAATAACAACGCTGGCAACTCGCAATCAACTTTAATTGACGATCGTCATCCGTTGAAGGGTGTGCGGATATTGGACCTCACTCGCATCGTAGCCGGTCCCTATTGCACCATGGTGCTAGGCGATTTGGGTGCGGAAGTGATCAAAGTAGAGCGTCCACATTTCGGGGATGAGTCACGCAAATGGGGTCCACCCTTCCTGGAGCACAGTGGCGATGCTGCATATTTTCTGGCACCGAATCGCAATAAGCAGAGCATCTGCATTGATATGAAACGTGGCCGAAAGCTGATGCAGGAGCTAGTGAAAATCTCAGATGTGCTCGTCGAGAACTATGTGCCGGGCACACTGGAACGCTACGGTTTGGGTTATGAGCAGTTGCGTCAAGTAAATCCCCGACTCGTCTATTGCACAATTAGCGGTTACGGCTCGGTAGGACCGTATGCCAAGCGTCCGGGCTACGATGTGATAGCTTCCTCGATGGGCGGCCTGTTGCATATAACGGGCGAACGAGATGGGCCGCCCAGCAAGGTGGGCGTGGCTGTAACAGATGTGGCCACTGGCTTGTATGCCCATGGCGCCGTTTTGGCCGCTTTGCTGCAACGCCAACGCACCCAACGTGGCCAAAAGATCGATGTGGATCTGCTGTCCACATGCTGTTCCCTGCTCATCAATGTAGCCAGCAACTATTTGAACGCGGGCACAGAGGCCAAGCGTTGGGGCACAGCCCATTCCAGCATTGTACCGTATCAGAGCTTCAAGACTTCGGATGGTTATCTGACAATTGGCGCTGGCAGCGATTCACAATTCGTGGAGCTATGCCGCCGCCTAGAAATTGAGCAGGTGTCCCTCGAGGATAGGTTCAAAACGAATAGGGATCGTGTCGAGCATCGCGAGGAGCTGGTCAATCTGCTGGGGCAAATCCTAGCGAGAGATACATCCAAGAATTGGATGCAATTATTTGATGGCGCCTCCTTCGTCGTCGGGCCTGTCAACAGTATTCGCGAAGTGTTCGAAGATGAGCACATTAGAGCTATTGGCCTGGTCAAAACACTGCCACATCCGCGTGACGTCAGCGTCAAGGTGGTCGGTCCGCCGGTCGTCTACAGCGAAGCACGCAACGATGCCCGCACCGCGCCACCAATGCTGGGCGAGCACACGGACGAGGTGCTCACTAATCTACTGGGTTATGGAGCCGATCAAATTGCCACTCTTCGCGACCAGCGTATTATTCAATGATTCTGACAATATTCTAGACATTTCATCTTAATTTAAATGGAACTGATTTAAAGTGCATTTTAAAAAACAAAAACAAATTTATATTCATTAAAGATGTGTTCTTGTAAGTTAAAAATTATAACTAACTTTAATAATCATTTTATAAAAAAAAAATTTTTTTTTCTGCAAAACTATTATCCAGAAAATATATTTAAAAAATATTTAATCGCCCTGTGCACTAAAAATAAAAAGTATAAATTGAAAATAAAAGGCAAAAAAAAGGAACTGAAATTCTAATCAATTTTGAAACTGAACAGTTTCAAATTTATTTTTACATCATACTTTCTAAATGGGCGACATTTTCTTCACAAAACTTGTAGCTGCCGTTGACCGACTTGAAATGCCGGTAAGTTCTAATCGTAATGATACCCTCTCAGTCAGAGAACAGAAGCCAATTCTCTTTTTGAATCCCAGTTTCAACGAGATCATGTGCCATGGGTGGAGCGATCGCGACGCGAAAAAATCATTATAATTATGTTCTATGCAATTATGCTGACGCTGGTTATCAACATTGTTGTGTGGTTAGCTTTTGCGTGTGTCTTCCTAAATCACAGCAAATTTGTGGAGCACATAAGGAAGCAGCCGTCAGCTACTTTCAGCCACATCGATAACAAGAACAAGTAAAAACTTACTCGCTGATGAGATTCCAGGAGTCTAGGCGACAGATTATCGATTTTGGCCGAAGCGTCACTGGTTTCAGAAATCGCAAATGCAAAAAGTAAATGCGAATGGAAATAAAAAAGGATACACGTGAAAACGAAGAATGTGTAAACGTGAAAATAATGCTCGCAGCTCACTTTTAAATATTTTTAACTAATAAATAAACTCATAAACCGCGTCTCGCGCGTTCCTTCCTCGGTATTGTTGATGGGCTGAGAGTGCGAACGAAACTAACACTGAGCCGAGTCAGTGCAAGTGACCACCTGCATGGATGATGAGCCGTTTATTTACTCTCTCTCTCTGTTTTGCTATTGCTTTCGCCATTTGTTTGTGTGCAAAGTTCACATGCTGCCACTGAGAGTCACTATACATACATACATACACAGTCGGCACAGAACTCGTTATGTACTTTACCCTTTGTGTTGTATGATCTACGCAAGTGACAACCGAGAAGACAGAGGTAGAAAAAAGTGCTCGGAACAATGAGATGTCCATCGACTAATAAATTACAGAAATTATTGTTCCAGCAACTGATTACAGAGTTAACGCAAAGCTAGCTTTGTACGCAGGTAAACAAATAATCGGCAAGCCATTATCACGGATCAGTTTTATTTATTGATTTTATAATAATAATAATTAAAAAGTGAAGAAATATTTAAAAGATTTTAATTGGATAGATATAATATTATTTGTGAGAACATATTGGGACTGTAAGTTCCGAAATTCATATTATATTAGTCTTTCTTTATTTATTTTGTGACATAAAATACGCTAAGTAAATAAAAATAAAAATTAAAAATACAATTTAATATTAAATTTAAATTCAGAAGTGAGAAATGGTTAATAATTGACAAGATTTAAATACAGAATGGTTCAGCATTTCTTGCTTGGATTAGGTAAAAAAAATTCGGAAGCAACCCAATCAGATAAAAAAAAACTTTTTAAATTAGTTAAGATACCCAACCAAAAATGCAGTTGAAAATATTATTTACGGAAAATGACGTTTAAAATGAATCATATAAAAAGAGGAATCTGAATACAATTCATGATTAAGTCAATTTTACTTATTATATTACTCATTACTCGAAATTCCATAATAATTATACAGATCTCAGTTTTTGGTAATTCACATATAAAAATATTCCTTATAGTTGTTGACTCTTCTTCTAAGCGCAGGCAAATTCAAATGTCAGCGCCAATGCAAATGTGAATTTGGCAGCACTGCAAACTCGAATGTGACAAGTTTTGACGTTTCACTTATCGCAAAACGGAACTTATCGAAAACCTATCGAAGTGTATAATGCTAAATGATGTTAAATAATAATAGTAACAAATATTGTGATCTTGTTAAAACTCGTCAATAATAATGCCTGCGCCACAAAAATCAACATTCTTTTCACGTAATCTGGTTGCCATAGTTATGGTGCCCAGCTTAATTGGCATACACTTTGGCTGGAAAATGTTACAAGAGAATCGCACTTTGGTTGCCGCCGACGAACAAATTGACTTGCCACCAATTACGGTGAGTGTTAAATTTATTAATAAATGTGTATTATTTCATATATTTTGATATTTTCCCTTACAGTTGGCAAAATTCGCGTGGAAGCGACTAACGAATAACCTCAATAATCAGACTCAGGTTGTGGAAAAGGAAAACGGCAGCCCAAAATGATAGAAATCTAAAAATGTTACTAGTTAAAAACTATTTATTGCATTAAAGTCTAATGCAGTGATTAAACCTAAAAAAAACTTTTAACTTAAATCTACAGACTAACACATAAACGGACGACACACATACATATACAGATACAGATACATATATAGACCTAATGTAAACAGACACATGAAGCGAAACAAATTCGAGTTTTTCGCAGCTTAGAAACTAATTTTTGTACACAGAAAATTATTGCGTCAACGAGGAGTTGACGGTGAGATTATCGAGCTGGGCATTGAAGAGCACGTCGCTGATGAGCTTCTCGGCAATGATGCGCTGCGTGTGATTGATGGAGCGCAGTTTGCTTGCCACATTCAGCCCAATCGCATCGTACTCATCCTCGGGGCGATGCGTTGACGCCGGCGCCGATGTTGTAGTGTAGGCTGTGGTGCCACCATTCCCGAACAGCGGCTGGTAGTGATCCCGCCCAATTTGGATGGTCGGCACTGGCACCGGTCCATGGCCATTGGCCTGATGATGCAGGTGTTGCAGCTGCTGCTGATGATGCTCCAATGAATTAACCGCCTGGAAGACATTAATTGAATTTGAGTTTGAGTCAAGTTGGACATGTTTTAAATTCGGCTGAGATCGATAAGTCAATATAATGCATTTTTTGAGTATTTAGAAAGTTATCTATAAAATTATATAGCTTAACTTTGTTCCATGAGTAAACTTGGCCCTGTTTGTAGTTCGGTCTCGAATCTCTGCTTTTGAAATTGCATAATGGGATTGAATAAGTATTTAAATTTAAAGAAAACATTGCCTATGTTTGTATAGCGCAAAAACAACAAGAATTTTAGGCTCGAAAGTAGTAGACACAATTGTTTAACATTTAATATTGGATTGATCCGAAAGCACATTTTGGGTATTTGGTCCACTCACCTGTTGTATTTCGCGCTGTGAATTGGAGTCCAGCGATGTAATCTCCAGCACTTTGACCGCATGCCCGCCAGCCGCTGCCGCAGCCAGAGATGCTTGTGCGGATGTGGCCTGGGCAACGAGACGTTGATGCGCCTCCGCTACCTCATTGTGTGCCACCTGGTGAGCCTCGTCCTTGACGAGAGTCACACAATCGGCGGGCGTCACCGAAATTGTACTTAATGTGGCACCCTGACTGCTGACGACAACATTATTATTATTATTATTGTTGTTATTATTGGAAGCGACTTCGGCGTCAACTTCATCGACCACATTGGGCACAATTGTCTCGATGTGTGTCTGTGACTGTGAATGGGACTGTGAGTGGGGATTCGTGTGATGCGATTCGTCCTCGTAATCCATTGAATCCTCATCGTCGAAATTGATGTGCAGCTCGCGCTTTGGTTTGCCACCCAATTCATTGGAGTGTCGCTTCGGTTTGTGATCGGCGATGAAGAGTAATTTATCATAATACCAGAGCCTCGTCTCGTAATCACTTTTGCTGCTCGACTTGCGGAATTCGCGGCGAAATGCGGAGCGGAGTGAGTTAATCTTTCGTACGACCATAGCCCGATCCGGATTCGGTTCGACTTCTTTCAGTTTTTCAACCAGTTTGTCGTAGGCTTTGTTTCTGGCGGCATGATTGCTGTAGTCGTGATGCTTGGGCTGCCACAGGCATTCCTCCTCCTGGTATTGCTCGATGAATTCGGTAAGCCAGTGGCGGGAATAGGAGCGCAGGTCGTTTAGATTCGACACATTCATTGTAATTGGTATTTTCTTTAAATCTATATATTTATATATTCTTTTGATGCTGTTTTGCTGTATTGCTGTTTTGCTCGCAGTGCGTTTCACTTGAAGTTGGCTGCAGCAGCAGCACGAAATGCAAAATGCAACTCTATTTTGTGTGATGTGGCAACGCCAACAAGTGCGTAGACAGTTAACGCTGCAGCCCTGATTCGCATACCCCTCAGATTTTCCCCGATGCTTACAGAATAACCGAGAAGAAGGCAAAGTTGCGCATGTTATTGCATGTTGTTGTCATTATTATTATGTATTAAAAGAATATATTAATAATAGCGCGTGCTGTGCGAAATAAATAATCAGAATTAAATGAGCCTAAGCTAGTGAGTGCAAGTTCGTGCGCTGCTAAACACCTGCATTGTTGTTGCACACATAAAATAGAAAATACCCAAAAAGTCTGTGTTAAACAAAACAAGGTGCGTTTTTGTTGGTTGCCCTTCCAACATAATCGAATCTTTCATTTTGGCTGCTTATATAATGACTGTGTGTGTTTAGATTAAAAAATAAAATAAAATAAAAAGATGAGCAAGAGTAAAAGTAAAACAAAAGTAATATATATATATATATATATATATATATATATATGTATGTATGTACATACATTTTGGTCCCTTAACAAAGCAAACGATTGAACGGCAGTGAAATGCATTTGAGCAACAGCTGTTTGCTGCACTGTTAACGCTGCTAACAGCTCCAATCAGAATTTTCGACACAAAAACGCGCTAACAAACAACGTAAACAACACGATATACAGATACATATATACGTCTGGATTACGTATTTGCTCATCAGGTTTACTTATTCGACTCGCAGAGCCAAAGTCCATTCCAATCAGAATTAATGCTGTTATTGGCTAATCTAAATATGAGTGAGTCTATTAATAAACACACTCAAACGCGAGCATGTATATATATATATATATTCGACGTGTGTGTGTGTATACACTTGTGGATAAACAACAACCTTGATTGACTGCAACAACAAAGAAGGCTTAACGAACTTGTTTACATTCGTATTGCCGGCTGCAATGAACCCCTCTGTGCAGTTCAAAGCACATCTGTTTCGTATAAGAGAGAAAGAGAGAGAGCGAGTATAAGAGTGTGCTTAAAGCTGCTCGATTATTCCTTGTAATTCATCTAATGTTTGTCAGAAAACAAATATATTTTATTTAAAGGCAACAAATGTTGTAACATTTTGCATTTAAATACCCCAATAAATCTTTGACAAGGAAGGTTTTATTTCTATAAAAAGAACACATGCTAATCCATAATGGTGAATTAAATTTTTTTTAGTATGATTTCTTATATGGTTTACGCATGCTTCAGCTTAAGCCTGTCAAAATGGATTCAGATCTAATATTTGACTAAGACTAATGACTATTGAAAACTGTTCGCAGAGAATCCACAAAATTTCTAATAACAGAGTTTTTAATCATTTGTGAGCTTATTAGCCATTAAAATTTGTTGAGGGTGATTCTTTTTATAAAGAATTACTGAACAGTTAAATTTATCTCAGAGAGCTTGCCACACAGTTACCTTATCACTTGAGATAGTTTTTATCATGGCTTAAGAGGCTCCATCGTTTCTATCTATATTAAAACCATTTCAAGGTGAAACTATTACTTGTAGAATTTAATAGAAAACCGCTCAGAAGACAAAAAACGATAATGAGGAAATCTTATCAAGCTGTCTTAATCAGTCTACGACTTTTAAAGGGGAGCAGTCCAAGCAAAGTACAAAAACTTACAATATCTCATTAGCCACTTTAGCTAATAGTTCTTTTTAACACTCATTTCGATTCATTGGCACCCAAACTGGAAGCGTTAATTGATTTGTTTCCTATACCCTGCAGTCAATAAAAATTGCAAAAAGGTTATGATGAGTTTGTGCAAATGTGTGTATCAGGTAAAAGAGATCAAGTCCAACCAACTATAAAGTCTATATATATTTCTGATCAGGATCAGCACACCAAATTCCAGAGACTCTAAGAGCTGGAGACTTTAAATTTTATTGATAAAAAGATACAATTGTAAATTGATATACTTTTACTTTTAAAATGCTTACTAAATACTTCATTTATAGTTAAATTTAGCTGAAGGTTATTTTAATCCGGGCCACAAGGGTATTTTATTTTCGCCGTTTTTTCTTGTTCTTTCTGGATTTTTTCCAAAAATGTGCCAAAAAAAAAGAAAGAATTATGAAACAAATGCGAAAAGTTCGCCCTCTCAAATTGAACCTTAAGAAATGTTCCCTTAGTTGGCGTTATCAATATTTGTCGTGTTTGTGAGCCAATCAGTAGCCATAAAAATACAAAATGAATTCCTTTGGCTGCTTTTGTTAATTAATTGTTATTTGAATTAAAATGTATCTGTTCCTATCTGAATTGTCTGCCGGCAGTCTGCGATGAGCCTTCTCGAGAAACCGAACATTGCCGTGTCCATGACATCAACAGGTAGTCAATTAACCACATCAGTTGCAACCGTCTCAGCCAGCAATGGGACGACAATAGAGGGCGCTGCAGCGGAGGACGAGGACGACTTTAGCGCGGGAAGAAAAGGTACAACTTCCGCCCCAGCGAATGGCAGTTACAATCAGAGCGCAAAGGCCCCAGATGGTAAGCTTATAATTAATATTAAGTAATATTATATATTAATTTGTTATATTTTATATTATTATATGTATAATTATATTTTTTATTATTATTAAATACAGGCAAATTGCCTTTATAAAATGCATAATCTAGTTTAAAGGGGGCTAGTGTGACCTTCCGCTTATTGGAAATATTATTAAATAATTACTACGAATTATTTATAATTATTATATTTATATTATATATTATTTATAAACAAAATTGTTATAAACTGAAAAATCTAGCTTATATTATAATTATTTTCATAATTGGTTTTTATTTTATTTATTATTTATTTAACGATATTTTATTATTTATTATTCATAACATGAGCAAAATGTTCAAAGTGAAGAAGTTATATATAAAAAGTATCATATAATCACGTCATCTTTGGCAGACCTAAGATACTTATATATTGATTTGCTATAACTGCAACAGAAGTTTTATCAAACAAGAAGATAGATTTTCCAATTACCAACCGCAACTAATGCTCCCCCAATTTGTTTTGCCTTCACAGTGCGTAACAATCTGGATGGGGTGCTCATCAGTCTGATAGCGGGAGCAGCTGCTGGTGCGCTCGCGAAGACAACAATCGCACCGCTGGATCGCACCAAAATCAATTTTCAGATACGCAAAGATGTGCCATTCTCGTTTCAAGCCTCGCTCAACTTCCTGCAGCAGACCTACGCCAAAGAGGGAGTCCTCGCCCTGTGGAGGGGCAATTCGGCGACAATGGCACGCATCGTACCCTACGCGGCCATTCAGTTCACATCCCACGAACAGTGGCGCCGCATTCTGCAGGTGGACCAGAACGGCACCAAGTGAGCTTTCCTCTTTTATCTATCCATGTACTTTCCAATATTTACCAAGCACTATTTACTACTTACTATTGACAGCACCAAGGGTCGTCGCTTTGTAGCTGGCTCGTTGGCGGGCATTACATCCCAGTCGCTGACGTATCCGTTGGATTTGGCCCGTGCCCGAATGGCCGTCACGGACAGATACACAGGCTATCGAACACTGCGTCAGGTCTTTGCCAAGATTTGGGTCGAGGAGGGTCCGAGAACACTCTTCCGCGGCTTTTGGGCAACGGTCCTGGGTGTTATACCCTATGCGGGTACTTCATTCTTCACCTATGAAACGCTCAAGCGAGAGTATCATGGTAAAAAGTAAATAATCAATCCAGCTTTTAGATCTAATCATAATTTTTGTAGAAATCGTTGGCAATACAAAACCGAATGCTTTAATTTCGCTGGCATTTGGCGCTGCAGCGGGGGCGGCGGGTCAAACGGCGAGTTATCCTTTGGATATTGTGCGTCGACGCATGCAGACGATGCGTGTTAATGTTGCGAGTCTGGAGCGTTGTCCCACAATTCTAGAGACCCTCATAAATATCTATCGGTAAAAAAATCACTCCCTTTAAATAATAAAATATGCTTATCTATCTGCTTTCCACAGTGAGGAGGGCATTAAGAACGGCTTCTACAAGGGCCTGAGTATGAACTGGATTAAGGGACCCATTGCCGTGGGCATCAGCTTCTCCACGTATGATCTGATCAAGGCTTGGCTTAGGGAGTTGTCTCACTTGAAACGTGGTCGGATCGATCAGTAACCGCTGGCCGCGCTCCAAACAAAAAAGGAACACAGAAAAAAAACCAAAAAAAAAGAAAGCCAGAATAAAACCCACTGCTTTTGTTCTTAAGTGAAATGTTCGAAGAGCAGAATTTGGTATTGCATTATTTGAATGCGGCACCAGAATTGTTACATTGATATTTTTAGTTATTAATTTTTCGGGAAAATGAAATGATGAATATACAAACGCTTACTTTGGTTATTCAATTAAATTGATTAAGTTCGTTAAGCAGAAAGTGAACGCAAACAATGAAAAATAAACTGCATCAAGTTGCAAATACAAAGCTCCTACTGCTGTCCACTTGAGACGCCGCTTAGTTTGTACTTTTGGCCACTACCTGGACAATAAATATTGCATGTATACATAATCTATAGCTACTAAAATATTGCGTAATTGACCCATTTTACTCTGTCAAATGTCGATTATATGTAAATACATATATAAATTGTCTATATGCATTGGCAGCAGCTTTGAACGCATTGCACACAATTGGCATACAGTTATTCATGTACTGCATAAAATGTATATTACTGTGTTTTTTATTAGTAAAAATAAATTTACAATGTTTTCAGTATAAGTTGATTTCAAATTTTTTTAATTGGGCGTTAATTTCACATCTTTCATTGTCGCATGTGTTGTTTAGGTGGCAACGCCTTCGATAGGTGGCATATCGATAGCGGACTTTCTTTCAATTGCGTTGCACTTTTCAGAATAATATATATATACATATATATATATATATATATATATATATATATATATATATATATATATATATATATATATATATATATATATATATATATATATATATATATATATATATATATATATATAGAATAATATATATATATATATGTATATATATATATGAATGTGATGTTTTTTATATGGAACAAGTAACCATATATACACTAAGAATACGGAAATGTGTGTAACAATATTTCTGACGGTCTGGCTACTTATCTAGCGTTAACAGTGGCATTTAGAGTAACACTAATATGTCTTAATTTGAACAGATGGATTTAAAATTGCTGCACGTGTGCTAAAGCGCTATAAAAAAGCTGAAGTATTACAAATTATTAAAAACATCAAATTTTTTTTTGTCGAGACCCGCGACTCCATTTGAAAAGTTAATTCCAGCTGTCACTAAGTATAAATATGTATGTTTGATGATTTTATTATTTACCAATCTCATTTAAACTCTTGATAGGCAGGATTATCCTTGCCCATGTGCTTGAATCTGGTGAGGTGACTTGCAAGTGATCTGAACTTGCGTTACTTGCATCCGAACAATATTAATGGGCAACCGCTGGATTGCCATTTTGCCTTAGTCAAATTTGATTTGATTTTGTTTGATTAATTGATACACAACATTTGTATGCTCAAATGCTAATAAGAATTTTCAGAGAAATCAACTTCTCAGCATTACCGTATTATTATTTTCGCAACTAGACAAGCGTCCAGCTGTTAACCAGTGATTTTACGAAAACAGACTCTGTGAGTGGAACAACTCATAATAATCTTATGCAGTCCCGAACGACTGAACGACTCTTTTCAATTCGTTGCTAACTTTGAGAACTTAGACCTAACAAAAAAAAAAAAAGAAAAAAAAATTACATATTGCTTGGAGATTGTCAGTTTATAGTTTAAACTGTATTGCAATTTAATTTTTTTTATTTATTTGGCAATACGATTATTATAACCCTTAATACCATAACAAAATTTAATTATTTGCTATCTGTTTCAAATGCCACAACTTAAGACTTATTTTTCGACCGACTTTTCCTATTGCAGCTTTATGATATATATATATAATGGATCGTTAAGGTCGGCCTCAAACAATTTACTGCCCTCATAAAAAAGACGATAACTGCAAAGCTTCAAAAAGATTTTCATCTTTTTAAACGGAGGAGAGACGGACATATATTTATTGAATCGATTAATGCTGATCAAGAATAGGTTTTCCTTATATGGTCGGAGAGACATTAGATAAAATTGGCATGCATTTAATTTGTGCTTATTTTAGTAAATATTGTAAATAGTATATACTTTTTGAAAATATTCACAGTAGGCGCCATTTTTATGTCTGCTCGGTTGCATATGTTTTATAGGTGTGGCAGCGCCTACGATAGGTAGGATATCGATAATGGACTCCTGCACTACTTTATTACATCTGCCATCTCTAGTCGCGTTGAGCTGTGCAAAATTAGTGCGCAAAAACCAGTTGCTTATTATTATTAATTTGTATTATTTCGGCTTCATCCAAGTCAGTAATTCTTGTGCTATATGTGAAGTATTTGTTCTCAAGTACCGGCCTTGTTTATCTTTGTTGTTCCAACCGAGTCAAGTCGCAAAGCCTCCAAACACATTCATAAACAAATACCTGAAAATCGAGCCATAGGCCTTCTTATAAAGGACAGGTGAGTGGTGGCCAATGACTAAAAAGCAAATGTAAATAAAATGATATAGATCAAGAAAGTAATCAATTGCTGTAGTCAGCGCCGCTCCCTTGTGGGCGGCTGCTGGCGTACAACAGGTGAACGGCGTTGCCACACTGTTAATAAAACCCTTTCGGCGACTTTGATGTGTGAAAAATCAATTTTGTGAGCTAATTACTCTCCCCTTAACTAAATAAATTCGTAATTAATAAAGGACATTCGCAGGCCATATAATAATATCATATACTATTTAATACCACTATTGGTAATGAAAACCCGCTTAATTATTTCGAAAACCAACTGATTAAGCAAAAGACATAAACATTGATTTATTCATGAGTATCATAAAGTTTTGTTAAAATATGCAAGCCATTAATTTTTTAAATTATATTTATTATTTGTCAAGAATAAGTACTGGATTAGCCTCGTCCTTAAACAATCAAAAAAAAAAATAAATTTATGTAAATTAACTTCTGACTGTCTGGCCACGCGGCTGTTTTTAGGTTAACAGTGCCATTTGGAGTAAACCAGATGCGTATTCAAAGTTAACAGTTGACTTTTACATTTATGTCCGTGCGTTCAATCGCGTTGGTGGTGCTTTTGCGGCAAAGTTGCGAAACTAAATACTTAGTTAAAATATATATATTCTTTAATCAAATTTATATATTAAAATACGCTCAACTCATTTATTATTGAGACAACAGACCAGCTACCCCGTTCGAAAAAAATACCATTATTTCAATGAAGTTCTAGTGAGAGTGTGTGAGTGTGTCTGTATGCATATAGTTGTGCAGCGCGTGTGCCTGTGTGTGTGTGCGTGTACGATTTAAAAATAAAACGGCAAATACATATCAAAATATTAAAAGCAAAAGAAACAGCCGAGTGCGTGTGCTTGTGTGTGTATGTACGTGCCTGCTCTGTGCACTTGTATGCGTGTGTGTTTATATGTGCGCTGTTGGAGCCACCGAATCCAATATATTTATGCATATGCATATGTATATGTTTACACCTTTTCCTGAGCTGTTTGTCTATTAAAAGGTAAATAGAATATATATTAATATATATAGAGAAAAGAGCAAAACACGGCCGGGGGTTTATTTGCGTGGGTGGGCCATTTAAGCAAATATGCCGACGGCGACGTCGTTGCTGCACTTTTTTCCCCTCTAATAATTTATTTTTCTGTTTTGCGATTTGTTTTGGGAAATTCTAAGAACTAAATTAATTGAACCTTTTGCAACTTTTTAATAGTCACACTTTGAAGCACACTTCCATGTATATATATATATATATATATATATATATGTGTAATTATGTACACACGTGTGTGCAAAATCATGTGTTGAATATTGTGCTGTTGTTTTTGTTGTTGGCTCCTGTTTCTTATTGTTATTTCTTGCTGGCTGCGCATGTCGCAGTCGTAGTTGCATATACAATCAGCAGTCATCAGCCGCCAGTGTTTCGTTGTTGTTAATTCTTGGAAAAATCATAAAAACAAAAGGCAAAAGAATTTTCGAGTGCAATAGCAAAAGAAACACAAAAAGAAACAACACAGCAGGCCACAAAATATATATTAGCTGCCTTTTCCCACTCACTCTCCTTCACTCCCTCTTTCTCTCTCTCTTCGGTTCATTCTTTCTCACTTACAGTCACATTTGCTACTTTTGCTTTCTTGACATCGTCGCGCGTCTGGCGTTTTGCCCGCTCAACACTTTATCTTCTACTGTTCTACTCTTCTGTTCTGGTCTTGGTTCGTTTCTTCGTTCAATGTGTTTGTTGTTGTTGCTTTTGTTGCGCACACGTTCGCTTTTTCTTTCCATGGTTGCCTTTTTACCATTTTGGACAAATTACTCTTCTCCTCAGTCGCCGTGTCGAGTCGTGTCAATGACGTCGTCAGAGTTGTAGTGTTAACCCTTTTGTGGCCAATGAATTTTATGTTATTGTTATGACCTATTACAATCAAGAACGTGCAAAAGTATGTATAGTATGTATTGAACGGTATATATCTATGTAACACTATGTATAATGTATGATCAGTATTAACAGCCGAGTCAGCTTAGTTCTCCTATAACGTATACAATTTTGTAGCATTTTATCGATAACTTTGGCCAAATCGATTATGTTAAGGGTATCTGCTAGCTAGCTTATATTTATTCATTTTCTTCGGTCGCTTTTTAATCGCGTCGTCTATCGATGCAAAGATAGATAAGTTATCTACAGCCAGTTGCTTCCTGTTTGACTATTACACCGATATATAGCTAAACTGCAACGCAATTTACACACACACACTCTTTCTCTCTCTCCAAAGAAGTAAGACAGAGCTTCTGAAGTCTGTGTGTGTGTACGCATATACATACATATAGACAAGGTATAAGCTCTGTAAAAGTTTGCAGAATATAAAACACTTATTAAAACAATGGCCAGATGTTCAACCGCGTGCTTGTGTGGGTTGCTGGACAGATAAAACTCAGGAGTCAAAAATGTATAATATGATGTATGTATGTATGTGCTTGCTTGCGTATAAGAGTATTCTTACATTCGCTGTCTAGTTATCTAACAACTAATTTATATGATGCAAACTAACAGTGGATAAAATAAGAGGAGAAACACACACACAAAGATGATTACTTAGCATAAAAAATATGGTGATAGGGATGGGGAATTGCAAGTGAAGGAGAAGTTGGTGTGGGTTCAACATTATATGTTGGGAGACTTCAATGCAGCGAATAGCAGCAAATAACACAAGTGAAAGACCGACCAATACACACAAAAACACACACAGACCCATATTCACACAAACACACACGCAGACACAGTCAGCGTTTATTAATCTTTTATGAGCGCAGTAACAAATAGCACAAAAGCGGCAAAGAAACGAATAAACATTTGTGTGTGTGCGTGTGGCTGCCTGTATATGTATGTGTGTGTATATGGATTGCTTACAAAGAATTAAAAAGTAAGAAAAACTTTTCTTGACTTTTGACGAACTTTTCGTACCCTTTACTTTTACCAAAACGTGATAGAGATAACTAAAAAAAAGGAAAATTCTTAAAACGTGTAGTTAAATAATGAAATACCAAATATATTTTATTTTTATAAAATATATATATAATTTAAAAATAATTAATAATATTAACTAAAGTGCATTCAAATATGTTTGCACTTATTTTGAACAGTGTTGTGAAGTGCACAACAAATTTGCTATCAAAAACGATTTGAAATCAGACAGAAAAGCAAAACCAATGTCGCCGCGACAGCAAAAAAACCCACACAGGAGGGACGAGCAACAACAATAAGTACCGAAACTTGGTGTATATACTGTGTATATGTACAGATATTTTTATATATACACGTCGTGTGTGATTTGCTGACTAGCATACAACTGTACATACTATATTTACATGTATACATGTATATATTTTTTGTATATTAGTAAATTGTACGTACAAATCTAACATTATAACAGCTGACAATAAGCCGGAGCATTTAAGTGTATAATGCTGGTCTGAACTGGCATAAATGAATTTAAATTGTTAGTAAGCTATTATTCATATTTATGTTTAAGACAAAATAAAATAAAAATACAATTTCTTATCTACATATATTTATATATTGCACGACGCTTGATTGCAACGTAAGCAGACCCTCAATTCTATATACAAACAAAAAAGTAAATAAAAATACAAATACAAATAAACATACACATGTATTTCTTGTTATATGTGCAAAATTGGTTTCTTTGTCTTATGGCGTCGACGCCGATATATCGCCATATCGCCCCTGTTGCTATATTTGTTTATTAAGAGAATCTGTTTGCTGAGCTAACCACATCTATACATTTCGAAAACGATTTGAATGGACGGACGGACGTTGTGTGTATTGATAATTGTTCTCCCCTTACGGCAATTTGTTTATCTAGAATTTGCGGTGCTTGTATAACAATATTTATGCAAATTAAAAAGAGAGAGAGGGAGAAATATACTTAAAGAGAAAGCCAGAGAGAGAGAGAGAGAGAGAGAAAGAGATATTGAGAGATGTGTGAAGAGAGACTGAGAGAGATGTGAAGAGAGATTGAGAGATAGCAAGAGACAAAAGAGTTTATTTCCGAGAAGAGAGAGTAAGACAGTAAAAGAGATGTTTCCAAACACTTACCCAAAATTTTAATATGCTCTAATTTTCTCTCATTGCATTGCCTGAGGGAGCATGTGGGTTTTGCCCATTTTTAAAATAAAACTCTTATCAGCTGCCTGTAGTGCGCAGCTTTTTACCTCTCAGATGCTTTCGCTTGCATAGCATTATTCATAGGCAAAAAATTCAATTGAGAAGCATTCGCATATTTCACTTGCGGGTCACGTTGTGTTTGCCCTCAGTTTGTGTGGCGTGTTTTGGTTGTCTACAAACAGATACAGATTGAGATATGCATATGAACACAGATTTTGATACAAGATGTGTGAACATTAGTTGCTTGTCTACAATGTGTGGTTAACACTATTAATTGATTGCTATTCAAATTGCTCTGTGGGGTTTTCATCGATCGCAAGTAAAAACAAAAAGTCGTCCAACCAGTTTCAGCGTTTTCACAACTATAACTACTACCCACAACAACTTTCTTAGTTCATGCTTCACTTCTAGGTTGAAATTCGCTCTAGTTTTCCCAATCAGCAAATTTAACTTTTCAAGGTCAATTAGCACATGGTGATTGAGTAATAAAGCGGTAAAAATAGCGAGAGCACTCTTTGAGCAGAATAAATTAGTCCGAAAAAATAAAAATATAATAATATATTTTATTTGAGCCTTTAAAATGTTTATATTTAATATTTATATTTTAATTTTTATTTATTATTTCTTAGAAGTTCCCAGTTATAAGTCAGCGCCTCGTGTAAATTTCTTTTATTATCAATTTCGTGGAATAAAGAAACGAAAGTTCATTAAAAAAGTAACGGTGATCTAGTCGAGAATATTAAACAGTATGAAACTCTGTTTTT